TTGTAGAGATTCTTTGTCTTATATGATACTATTAGAAAACTCTAAGCTCAAATTGCAAGTTTTTTTTTTTAAAAAAAAAAGTTTGACTACCAGACTATTGGAAACAAGTTAAGGAGAGATTTTATCATGAAGATAGAGCAAAAGGGGGATGACAAGTTTAGGAAGATATGTTTCATGCTTAAGGAGAAAAGAGCTCATAAAATGAAGTGGAAAGACCCATGGAGAGAATTCAGATTCCATATACCATGAACTTATAAAATATTTTACCAATATATATTTATAGTTACTATATTTTGAGTAAGTGTAGAATCTTTATAATAAAAATGTTAGATTAATTGATGTCGAAAGAATTATCTGTTTGTAAAATTTATGTGTTCATAATATAAGCATAACATCATAGATTAAATAAATCATTGACACTTTCAATACCAATGGTTTTGTTGAATGACAAACAATTTGACTTTGTTAAATTAAATCAACTAATTTATTTAAATAATTTAAAATGATACAATTAAATAATTTTTTGGAAAAAATATTAATGATCTTAAAAATATAATGATATTATAAAGTTAAATAAATGCATAATTTGAATAAATAATTTAAGAATTTAATATTATTATTAAAAAAAAAATTCAAATTTTCACATGTTACAACTAAAAAGACTACCTATAATTCATATATTCTTGATTCACTCATTTTTATTAGTTTAGGACTATTGGGTGTAATATCATATAGTGTTTTCTTCTCGTTCATTTATATCTTGCATGTCAAAAGATGTCTTTAGATTATTAAAATATTTAACTAATATTGGTATATTGTAAATAGACTTTGGTGATCGTGAAAAGAATGTTTAGAAAAATATTAGAACCATCATACTAAAAAGAGTATAAAATTACATTATACTTAGAGGTAGTAATCCAAAACTTCACTAATATTTAAAAGATGTTTTAAATAAAATCTTAGGCCCTTATATCCATTATCTTGATGTACTGATCCAAGTTTAGTAGTATTTATTTGTGAAGTATTTGATAAATAAATTGTCACACATACCCTCAATAGGCATGCGTATGTACTAGTTGGAATGGATGATACCTATGTCTTTGACATCCATGACTATTAGGCATGAGTTGTGAGGTTAAATAACTTAGAGAGTATTTAAGGTGATTTTGACTTTAACTTTTATATTTTACAAAATACTTTTGTAATTGAGTGAGTGAAATAAAAAGTATTTTTAATAAAAGTTAATACCAAATATGTTTTTGATAAGTTTAAATATAAAAACTACAATTTGTAACTTTTAGAAAATAGTTTTGTTTGTAAAAAAGTTGGACATATAAAATCTTAAAATTTCATTTCTACTAAATATATATTTTCTATCTTTTTAAAGTGTGAATATCTTTTACGACTACTTATACCAAACACCAAACACAGCTATCCTAAACTCTCTCTCAATTGATAACATGTATGACTAATTTAGATGCAAAAAATGACAAAAATCGATTTTTTGTGAGACATGATAGATTTACTAATTTAAGCTTGTGGGTATAATTGGGCTCAAGGCCTTAAAGAGGTATAAACAAGGCTTATGTGTCAATAAAGAAAATCTATATTTTGGATTTACTTAAAACCATTAGAACTTTTTATAAAAAAATTAGTTATCTTTTATCTCAATTATGAGTTTGTAAGGTGCATAAATAAAAGATTACAAAAATAAAATGTAAAAAATTAAAATTACAACCACTAATTTCACATTGTTGCCGCCGCTAATAATGTTGCTATTGTTTTTGATGCCACAAACACCATTACCACTCATCTCATCCACCATCATTATTTTCAATATTAATATCGTTGCTTAATTGATGTCATGACTACCACTATTATCATCATGATTATCATCACTCTATTATAATAGTTATTGTCATTAAACCTTTACATTTGGTGTTATTACTGTCACTCGTTACTATTTCTCTTATCGTTATCGATTCTAAGTAAACTTCACCATTGTCATTGTTATCATTATAATTATTGTTGTTGTTGCCACCGATGCTTTTGGTGTTATTGACCATTATTTCTGTGAATACTATTTTTACTATAATTATCAATAATATTATTAATATAAATTAAAAAATAATAAAATAATTTTTAATGCTGTACTAGAGTTCCTCGTAATCATTTTAAATACGTGATAAAATAAAAATTTTATACATATGTTGTACATGACAAGTCCTTGATCCTATCAAATTTAATTTCCTATTCAAATGTCAAACATAACGTAATTATGTATATATATATGTATTCATATAATTGTGAACATTTGTGCAACTAAATATGGTCATGTAATGAACAATTGCATTATACAATTTAACTACCTTTAAACAAGATTTGACTCCAAACAAGTATCCACATTTGGAGAATGACGGATCCATGGAGTTCGAAGAGCAAATTATAACAGCATTTTACCGTACAAGGAGAGAATTAAAAACTGAAGTCAATGCTATTTTATTTATTATGGTTTTTTTTTTTTAATTCTCTGATCAATATAATATAATATAATATAATATTGTTCTTGTTGAAGTGTGGTAATTTTCTTTTTTTACAAATGTTTAAAACATGTTCATATATTTTCTTTACATAATTTCCAGTGTATCATCCCCCAAAAAGAATATATTTTATATTTGACATATATAAATATAGAACGGACCTGTTCGTATATCGTATATATACAATTATGTAATCGGAAGATATGAAATTAATCAATATGGGATACAACGCGTTAGAATACTATTTTTGTATAATCTATATTAATTCCTTTTCTTAAGATTTGATAATTATCAAATGGAAGTGGCCGTAGATACTTCCAATCATGAAACTTAATTAGTTATATATAGCTGGTGAAACTACTCACGTATTGGGATTGTTAATGATACTTAATATATATATACATATATGTATCAGTTCAGATTTGTATTTCATATATGGATCATAGCTGGCAAAGTAAAGGACATGCATGCTGGAAAAGAAAAAAAAAAAAAATTATGATTTTATAAATAATTGAATAGTTGATTATGATATTTTCTTTTACTTGAATAATTTCTGTGGAGATTATATCCATATATATATATATATATATTAGATTGTATTAAAAGTTTAAACCAGTACAAGTAGGCCCTAATATATTTTGAAGAAAAAAAAATAGTAAAATGTAAAAATTGCAACTTTTTTAATGATAGAGATTGTAATTTTTTTTTTTTTTTTTTTTTCTAGAAGATGAACTGTCCCAGCTCATTCATAGTTTTCCTCATTTGCATGAATAAATTTTAACGTTTTATCCGTGAATATTAACTATTTAGAATTTGTTCATCATAAATTCCCCTCCCACTCTCTTGCAAAAATTTTAATAAATGCATGTATACGGATTGAAATGTTTTGTAAGAAAGTGATGTTCTAATCAATGTGGATTATTTATTTAAATTAATTTTTAGTAAGAATTTAATTTGATGATTTTAAGGTTAATTAGCAGTAAGTAAAATGATAAGATATAATTACAGTATGAGTAAAAGTAAATTTATGGTTTTCATTATTTAGGGTACGCGTGAAACTGGAACTTGAAATCCATGAGAGTTAAAAAATAATGATAGCATTTATGGAGGAGGAACGGTGTATGGTAGAAGATCTGCGAGATTGAATGATGAAGAAATATAAATAAATAAATAAAAACAGATTCGTTTTTAGATAATTGCAAATTTTATTTCACACCCTTACTAATCAAATGCTCTCAGCTTCACCTAAAAGCAAATATAACTATATTTTCCTCCATCAACAACTGGCCTTCCCTACCCACCTTTCTGTATACTTTTAACATCAGTCTGAGAAATCCGACCTTCACAAATTCCTTACTCTTCATCGGAGGAGAAAGACGACAAGAGTTGCAGAAGGCGCTAAATGGATCCTTGCCCATTTGTGCGATTAAGTGTGGAGTCCCTCGCTCTTAAACTTCCATTGGACGCAAAATCACCCGGCTCAATCGTACAATCCTCTACCACTCCCTATTTTTGCAAGATCAACATTAAGAACTTCCCTTCTCAGACAACGCTCCTCCCGCTCTCCACTAACTCCAATCACGACTCACCACCTGAATCCGCCACTTCTTCTCCTGCCTTCCACGTCGACGCCACTGTTATCCGCCGCCTTTCCCTTAAGCCACTACCCCTACATGTGCACGTCTACACTGGCCGCATGGGTCACACTTGCGGCGTCAACTCTGGAAAGCTATTGGGTCGGACCCAAGTCACCGTCGACTTTGCCGCTGCAAATTCCAGACCCACCGTGTTTCATACCGGTTGGACGAAGCTCAGCAGTGAGCCCGGTAAACCTTCTGTTTGGCTACACCTCGTCGTCCGGGGCGAACCAAGCCCTCGTTTCTTTTTCCAATTCGGAGGTGAACCGGAATGTAGCCCCGTTGTTTTCCAGATTCAGGGCAATATTAGGCAACCGGTTTTCAGCTGCAAGTTTAGTGCCGACCGGAACTCAAGATCTCGGTGAGCATAACATTTCGCCCACCTTTCTTTTTTTGGTAATTAAATCTTTTGGTACATTTTAGCATGTTGATGGTGCGTTTGCTAACGTGCACTGATTCGAGTGGTTAACCATGAATTGGCATGTTTTTCTTTAATAAGTTTTATCGAAAATGATTGAATTTGGATTTGGTTTCTGATTTCTTTTTGTGTTTTTTGGGGAAAGAAAGTTCATATCTCTTTCTGTCGTTTTCTTCCTTGTAATAAAATGTACATGTGGGGGTGTCAAACATATTTCTTAGTCAATAACTAAGTCCCACATGCCATTGTTCCGAGTTGGGGCACCGGCATCTTATTTGTTCAATGCTTTTTCTTTGGTTCCTTCCATGGCAATTGAGTTCATGGTCATTTACCTTTAAATACATTGTATATCAGGGGGGGGGGGGGATTTCATTTCTATGTTTTGCCATTTTGATTCTTAGTCAACTGTTTACCATTCACAATTTTCATATCAGGCAACATATTAGTACTTCCCTATAGATTCCATGAAGCAATATCGGATCCTAGATAATACCATACTAGTTTAATAGTTTAACTACCAAACTAGCATGATATTTATATATATGTATATGCATATATATAAGGATATATCTTGGGTTTGATTGACGTATTCATAGCATTTGAGTGAATGCAATATTTACTAGTTCATGTTAGGATTGGGAACGCATTGGCAAGTTGGTGTTTTACCAGTCTCCTTCTAAAATGGCAATATTTACAGCAGTCAGCAAGGACAAAAAAAAAAAAATATATATATATATATATATATATATCCTCTTTTACTTAAATAAGATAATTGACTAATAAAACAAGATGTTGTCATGGTCAAACTTGCTATATAAGATGTCTCTTAAATTATCAGACAGACCCAACCGCCTCTGATTCCCTCCCATATGCAAAGATATTTTGGCTGGCTTATCTTGTATTTTTTTTTCCCTCTTTACGTTCTTGGTTGACATTTCCATGTTTATAGCTAGTTGGATTATGTTATTCTCTTGAAAACTTAATTTAATTTTTATGGTGGGAAAACCAGATTGCTGCCAACAGATTTTAACCCCCACAACAAAAGATGGATGAGAACATTCTCGATTGAAAAAGAACGACAAGGGAGGGAAAGAAAAGGATGGATGATAATAATACACGATCTTTCTGGATCCCCTGTTGCAGCAGCCTCTATGATAACTCCATTTGTGCCCTCTCCAGGCACAGACCATGTGACTCGATCAAATCCTGGTGCATGGTTGATTCTACGGCCCCATGGATTATCTGTTAGCAGCTGGAAGCCATGGGGTCGTCTTGAGGCATGGCGAGAGAGAGGTCCCATCGATGGGCTGGGCTATAAATTTGAGCTTGTTACAGAAAATGGTCCCAACTGTCGCATTCCCATTACAGAAGCTACAATGAGTGTTAAAAAGGGTGGTCAATTTTGCATTGATAGTCGGTTAACGAGAGATGGAGGAGTGGGTTCAAGGTCCCCTGTCAAAGGGTTTGTCATGTGTTCAACTGTGGAAGGTGAAGGTAAGGTTAGCAAGCCTGTAGTGCAAGTTGGTGCCCAGCATGTAACTTGCATGACGGATGCTGCACTGTTTATTGCACTTTCAGCCGCCATTGATCTTAGCATGGACGCTTGTCGCCTCTTTTCACATAAACTTAGGAAGGAGCTTTGCCACCACGAACAAGATTCCTTCTCTTAAGGAAAAGGGAAAAAAGAAAAAAAAAAAACACCCATCCTAATTTGCTCCTGCAGATTCATCTTCTGATGCAGTGATAACCAGAAAGTTATAGCTTTCCCAAGCAAATTACTGCTGTTGGTTTTGAGCAGAGAAGATATTTTTGCACATATATCCCTCCTTTCTCTTATTCCATTTTGATTTTTCCTCTCACAGATGTAATCTTTTTCCCCTGCTTTAGGATGCCTTGATTGATTTTTGTCTTTGAAATTCACAATTCTTTTTTTGTGCGCTGGTGGTGGCGTCTTAGAGGGGGATTTCTGTTTACTACGGGATTGTTGTGTGCGTTTATACCTTACATATCAAAACTGTATACACAGAGCACGGAAATTGTTTGTTTGTACTTTATTTGATTCTTTTTTTTTTTTGTATTTTTGTATTAGTTGTGTGAACTTCCCAAGCTTAGATATATTTGGTCAACGGGTTCTCTTTACAGAGCTTGCTTCTGTTTCTGTTTTAATTGTTGATAAGATTATTCCTACAAGTATTTCTGGCAGATTTACAGTTGTATAATTCTTTTTTTTTTTTTTTATCACATAAGACTATCAGTTATTAACCAATCCAGTTATCTAAGATAATTTAAGTGTCATAAAATATATATTTTTATTATAATTATAATAATTTATTCAGATAAAATTTAATTTAATCACTTCAACACTATCAAATTTGAACCTTTCTAATTTTTTCTACCAACCCAAATTCGATCCGATCTAAACTCGTACTTCAATTGAATTTAGTAAATTTAGTCATAAAATATCATACTTGATTTATATTAATTTAACAATTATATTACCATAAGAGTGATGTTAAATTGCTTTTTTTAACTACTATTAATTCATAATATGTTTTATCTTCAGTTTACCATTAAATTACCATGCTAATGATGTATATCATTTTTCATTTATCCATGGAAATTTATACAAAAATTATTCAAATTTATTGCTATATATAGTAGGATCTTGGATTGAGTTATTACATTTAATGATGTTCATTAATCCTAGAGACCGAATTGGATGGCTCATCCACTATAAATACTAGTTGTAATATTCAGACTCGAAAAATGATCTGATATAATTTTTTATTATTAAATTATTAATTTAAAATAATTTATTTATTTATTTTATTTTTATTTAAGTTAAATTTTGAGAAAAATGAATTAGAGACGAGATTGAAAATAATTTTAGAAAAAATAGGTGAAAATTTAAGTTAAGAAAGTATTTTTGAAAGAAAAATTAGAAATAGAGGGTCAAAATACAAAAAAAAAAAAATGACCACATAGCATCGCCCGGTCAGCAGCCCAGACGAACCGGAGCACGTCACGTGACAAGGCACGCTAACGTCGGTGCCACGTGGGAGGCAACATGGGCGATCCGCGTGTGCCGCGATCGGACAGCCCAAGATCGATCATGTGCACATAGACGACTCAGATTCGTTTTTTCATTAGGCGCAATTAGACGGTCGAGATCAATAGCGATGAACAGTCCCAATTCTTTTCCTTCTTAGGCGCGAACGGACAGACGAGATCGATTGCAGTAGACGGTCCATATCAACACGGGATGGGTATAAATACTTCGCATCACATGAGAATCCAAACCCTAGTTGCCAGCCCCCGCCAGAGAAGAAGAACCATACACCGGAGAAAGAGGCCGATCGCCAACCGTCACCGCACCAGACCCATTGTCTGTTGCCAAAAAAAGGAAAAAATTCTCTCTACCCACTCGGAATTCAATTCCGAGCACCCCTATGATCAAATCGAACTAAGAGGGACGTTAGGTGAGTCGAAAACAGCGGGCAAAGCCCAGCGGAGCTGCCGTGGCCAAAACCTCAAAATACCTCCGATGAGTCTATTCTCGTTTTCTGTTTCATGCGATTTTTTGATCATTATGTTCATCGTCCTTTTCTGTGCAGGTCAGCTAAAGAAAGAATCTCAGCCGCGAATTTTGTGATTTTCCAACCAACTGAGGCCCCCAACATATTTTTCTGCAAGGATACATGCAGAATTGGTCAGACCAAGGAGAACCACCGTCATGGGCAGCGAAGCCAGCGCTTGAACATGGCGGCAGCACTGTGTTGGAACCCCAAATTTGGTCGAAAAGAGTTTTGGACACCGATGTTAGATTTTTGAGGTATTTTTAGGTACGTGACGAGTGTTTTGAATTTCGTAGGAAAAAGTCAGAAAATCCGGTACCTGTTAGGAGGTGTGGTAGACAGCACGACGTCTTAAAATACCAATCCGGATAAGGATCCCTTACCCTATTCTCTATTACGGTAAATTGATATTTAACGATGTATAATTTTGTGTTTTTGTGAAAATTTAAAAAATTCTAAAAATAATTATAAGTCACTAGTGGAATCGGAACCAGTTAGTTCATAATTGTCTTGATTTCTTATTTATTTCCTTGTACTGTCCTACTTGCTTGATTTTCATATAGTACATGTTCTTAATTTATAGTTTCAATAGTTTTATTGACTTATCTGATTATTTTGGTTATACACCGCCAGCATGAATATAATTTAATTGATCTGTAAATGTGATATGAGATATTGGTATATGTTTGTTGATTGTTTGTTGATGAAAATCTATATATGAAAGACTTGATGGTTACCTAGGAAAAGGGCAGACGAGCCCAGTACATAGGAAACCTTACCATGAACATTACATCAATAAGACGGGACTGGAAAGTCCTTTACCGAAAAGATTTAGGATATATAGTTCACCCTCATATTGAAAGAGTATCGATGCGATGAAATATTTGACGCCCATTATCAAACGAGGTATGAGGACAGCCGGTTAATTATAAAATTGGATATTGGGTTCATGAGTAAGGGGGATATCCCTATGGACTCCTAAGGATACCAATAAGCAGATAAGAAAGGAAAGTTATTGTCTCTTATTCTCTTATGCGTGAAAGTGAAGAATGGTATGGATATGAGTCTTCATAGGTTGTTTTTGGAAAATTCGTTACAGTAAATATCAAATAAATGTCTTCAAGTTTAAAGGTATTTAAATAAAGTAATGACTCAATTAGTTGTTTTTCTAACTTTTACCAATCTTCAGTTTTTCGTATATGTGATTAGTGTGATATTCTTACTGGGGTAGTGTAGCTCATCCTTTCATTAACCATTTCAGATCAAGATGATCAAGATTCAGATCCCGATCAGTAAGAGAGTTATGAGTAGTTCATCACCCGAACTCTCTTTAAGTGCTAGTGAATGTTGTCTTAGGGTACTTTTATAGTCATTCTTCTTTTCATTTCTTTAATTACTGTTTGTCTTTCAGAAGTAACATTCTCATAGTTTTATTGGACATTCTAAATTATTGTATAAGGAAGATGAACCTTAACTCTATTAATTGCTTCCGTATTTAATTTTATGAATTTATTTCTATTTAAGTTCCGAACCTTTACAGTTGGTATCAAAGTAAGTTCCTTAAAATCATTCCTTACACAAAGACTTAAAAACACCAAATATAAACTATCACTCAACCATTCTTTGTGAAATACAGGTACAAAAAATGAGGAGAGGAAGACCCTTACTAAACCGAGCAGCCCAGGATGGCACACTTTAAGAGGATGTTGACTGACTCTTTGAGATACTGAAGAGACTCATCTCTATCCAGCAGACCTGAGAGAAAATGAGAGAGTTGTCTAACCCTTCCCCGCTGCCACAATTTGAGCCACATTTGTGGCTGAAAGATCTGGAGCCACCTTGATACAACCCTGCTCCTCCACCATACCATCCGGCACCACCACAATAGAATTTGGTGCCTCTATCGCACCATCCGGTACTGCCACAGTACAACTTAGTGCCTCCATCGTATCATCCAGCACCACCGTAGGTCCACCTGGTTCATCTCTAGCACAATTCAGTCCCTCTTTCACGGGACCCAATTCCATCCATGATGGACTCAGACTACATTGAAATGAACAAAATATTAAACCCATCTACTTTTGCAGGGGTATCCTCTTTTAAAGAGGTCGAGTATTGGTTAGCTGAGACAGAGAAGGTATTCGCAACCCTTGGGGTAGTTCCTGAACAAAAAGTTGTACTTGCCACCTATATTCTTGTGGGAGAGACAAACCGCTGATGGTAGCTCAAGTAGATCATCCTGCCCATTTCAGTCACTTGAAAATAATTTCTGATTGCCTTCAATATAGAATACCTCCCAAAGCACCTCTGACATTTGAAAGAAATGTAATTTGCACACCTAGTCCATGATGATATGACTACGTCAGAGTATGTCCGAAGGTTTCTAGAGTTGGACCGGTATTCCCCTGAGAGCATGATGGATGAAGGTAGGAAGGTAAAAAAGTTCGAATGAGACATTCGCCCTGAGATCAGACAGTAGCTGTACGTATTTGAGCTCAGTACCTACTTAGTCGTTCTGGCTAAGGCACAACTAATGGAGAGGAACCTTCGTATCTTTTCTCAAGAAGTAGGGAATCCCAGACCCCTGGTTTCACACCGCAAATCATTACTCACTGTACTGTTTCAACAAAACAAGAGGCCTAGGCCAGTGATTCAGGCTCCTCTTCAGGCTCCGGTAATAAGACGTGGTGGGACTTGCCAACACTATGGTAAGGATAGTGGGTTCATCCGACATAGTGTATCTCCTTAGGGTACTGGAGTCACATTTACAAATAAATGGGATAAGACTTTATGATTGTATATTGACTACAGGGGATTAAACAGAGTCACGATCAATAACAAGTACCCCCTCCCTAGAATTAATGACCTTTTTAATTAGTTGCAGGGTGCCCAGATCTTCTCCAAAATAGACTTACATTCAGGTTACTACCAGGTAAAGATCAGGGCGGAGGACATTCCCAAGAACACTTTCAGAATCAGTTATGGACATATGAGTTCTTGGTCATACTCTATAAACCAACCAACGCACCAGCCATTTTTATGGACTTAATAAATAGAGTTTTTAGATAATTCCTAAATTAGTTTGTCATTGTATTTATCGATAATATCCTGGTCTATTCAAAGAGCAAAGAGAAACACACTCATGACCTTACTCAGGTTCTGCAAGTTTACAGGAAGAAGGAATTGTATGCAAAATTAAGCAAGTGCGGGTTCTGTCTCGAACAGACTATCTTTCTAGGACATATCATATCAAGGGATTAAGTATCAGTGAATCCCGAAAAAATCGAGGCAGTGCTTGGATAGAAGAAATTGACATCAGTCAAGGAGATTCATAGCTTTCTAGTAATGATAGGTGATTATCGTATGTTTGTAGAATGATTTTTTAGCCTAACCTCTCATTTGACCCAACTCATAAAGAAGAACATTAAGTTTGAATGGAACGAGAATTGCAAAAAGAGCTTTACGGAACTCAAAAAGCGGTTAACTATTGCACCCATGTTGGCTTTGCTGAGTGGGACATGTGAATATACAGTGTACAGTGATGCCT